CGCTGCGTGTGTTGTCAATATCATTATGTACGTGGGTTGTCGTTATCTGGTGGCCTTCCTTCGCTCCACTGCTGCTCTGGCCGACTTGGTCGGCGGTCCAGCAGGGGTGTTGAGCTGACCGGAACTGCACGGATAGCCTGTAGGTCACAATGCAACAGTGCTTCGACCGGACATCGTTCATCTGGAACAGCCAGCTCTTACACCCGCTGGAGCCTTGACTCGTTTCAGACGGTCTGTTGCAGCCAAATGAGCGGGTAGAGTAGCCTACCAGTCCTGCTCAGCTGTTTGAACCACGTCTAGTTCCTGTCCGAAACCGTTTAGAGCGGGCTGTAGCCGTTGGAGCGATTTTGGGCGCGTTAGCCGTGCCAGCGGAGCGCGTTCGGCGCCACCGGCCGTGACCAAAGTGACGATTTCCGAGGGCGGGGCGGGGCCGCCGGGGCCGCTGCGTTAGCCCATTGACAGAAACGCAGTCCCCCCCCCCCCGCGCCCCCCGAGGCATGATCCGCACCGGCCCGGCGGCGTGACTGGCGGCGGAAGCGCGGAGGGGGGGGGGGTGGGGGTGGGGGTCGGGGTGGAGGTGGCATGAAAGGCGAATACAGGCAACCCCTGCTGCAGTGTACGCATTTGTGGCAGTGCCCCATTGCTACCATGACAATAAGAGATGAGTGTATGACCAATGAACATGGCAGGATAAAGGTCGACTCGAATGTGAGGGCGAGTGCAAATGCGGCAAATGACAACATCTCCTTCAACTATTCATGCATCATTTCTAAACATCCTGATTCACGTGAGGCCCCTCGAGACAAAGGGTCCGAGTTCGGGGCAGGTTCGGTAAACTGAACTATGAGCATGTTGCTGAGATTTTCGGGGTCGGATTAGCAACATTTCTTAAGCTGTGTGACAGTGATAAGACCCGCCTTTCATGGTCACCAGTGATGATGTCACCAGTGTCATGCGGGCCTCACTCGGAGGATCAACTGGGTGTTCTAGTTCCACAAATTTCATATGCTGTCTCACTCCATCCATTCTTTCAACTCCATTTCGGTGGATGGCATCTCAGATGCAGTGAGTGAAGGGAGAGTTTGTCGTCGCATCCGATAAATGAGACATACAAAGGTTACTTCCCAGCCATGCGAAACACCCTGTTTATGCGGGCAACTCCTGTGGCCGTTCACCTCGGGTGAGACCCTTAAGGACATCTGGCGGCGATTGCTGGAAGACTTGCTGTCTAAACACAAAGCACGTTTGCCGCGCAGTTCAACGAGATAGAATGATTTTGCGCCATGAAGAATCCGCACGTCATGACCTACATGCGCTGGGAATTTCTCATTCAGATAGTTAATTAATGCAATACTTATCATCCAAAAATTCATGCCGTTCAAGCAGTATTTATACTTCATCTCAAAGTTTGTAACGCAGTTAAGATACGAGTTTGTCCAAATAATTAGCAGGGTATCTGAATTAATAGCAGTGCATTGTTAACAGGTGGTTCTGTTTATATTGCAACATTATAGCGCCAGGACTATTCATTTGGAGCGTTAGAACGGAGTTACCTCATGGTTTCATGACTATAAGCCAACATTCATTAATGCAGCGAGCCATATACCTAACCATAGTACGTGTGATACGTGAAATATGGGCATGCAAAACAGCTACGCCTAAGAACCTCCTTCGCGTGCATTCATTCACAGATGTAATCCAGCGAAAACACTGTTTTTGCGAAGACCTGGGAACTCTAAAACAAAAAGGTAGAGGTTATTATTAATCAAGTGCGATTAGAATAACACCGGCTGAAAAGTTGTGTGGAACGATCAGATTAGCCAGACCGGATGGCTGGCAAGTTGCATGAATTCGCGGTTCTCCAATACAATGGCACGAATGATGAATAATTCATTTTCAGATGAGTGTCTTTCATGCTTGGTGGACAGGATTACCCAAAGCCCCTTAATGAACTAGGTCGATCAGTATTCTTCTAAGTGGCACTATCGATCTTTGCAAAGCGGATAAACAGGCTGCTGTACTTTGGATGATGCAATGCTACCTATACCCCTTTTGGGCAAGATGTGTTGACATCACGTTGTCATTGTGGCACCATCTCTTAGTGTGCTAAGAAGTGGGGCCAGGCACGCGACGGTCCCCGTGCCATTTGCACGCGTTTCTTTTCGTCCAAGCCGCAAGGAGAGCTACCTTGAAAAACACGCACCCTCTCTACCTGAACCAGACCGCAAACCGTTTCAGCGTGTGTCGAGTTAAAATACCGTCACTGTCTGGCGGGCTGCCTTTTCGCCCAGCGCAAAAAAGGAGCACTGTTGCCAGCGTTATGAGGGCGACGGAAGCGGGCCCGTCGCCGCCGCGACCGGTTCCACTTTCGAACGGGTGCGCGGCGCCAGCCATACGGGCCGCCCCGGGTGAGGGCGTGATCGAAGCCATCGGCGGCGGCGGCGGACGGCGCCATGGAGGCGCGGTCAATAAACCCGTCCGGACGCGGCGCGCCGCTCCACTTCGTCGGCCGCTCGGCTGACGTCACAGGCTGACGTCACAGCTGCGGTCGGACGACGGCGGCGGTGCGCCACATCTCGGCGCGGCCGCGGACAATTTGTTGCCGCATTTGGGCCCGACTCAGCGCCGCACGGCATGGCGAACGTGGTTCAGTGGCCGGACGGACCGCTCTGCCGGAAAGATGAAAGGCTGACGACGAAAACCGAGCAAATGTACCTGCGATTAGAGGTGGGCAGTCATGCCTGAAACTGCTGGGAGGAAGTTTCTAAAGAAAATGTTTCACGGAATCCCATGCGATCCTGAACGCTTCGCAGTGAACGGACATGCTTCCGATAGTTTATACACACTTGAAACCTATCCACGCAACCTCATTAGCTTTGCTAACCTTTTCCAAAGCCACATGGAAAATTTGTCATTGCTTTGTCATTGCGTTGCAATGCACAGAAGCTCCGTGAACGGTTACAAAAAGTATATTTGAAGAGATCTACATGCTCATTGCCTCCCCAGATGCTGAAATGCAATGCGTCTATCCTACTCTTCTCAACGTGGCGATAAACCTTAGACACGCTGCCAACCGCCGTACATAAGTGCATTTGCATGTAATTATGTTAAAAATTTGATTCTTCTTGATGGCAGAAGAAAGATGTGTTGGAAGATCATCACTTCGATCAGCATTTAATCCAGACATATGCGATGCAAGGGCAACGACCTCCATAAGCAGCACATTTCAGCCATTGAATGCACCCCGCCGACCAAACCAGTCACTCGTGTCTACGCCTCTCTCCATGATGGCGATCCTATCATGCAAACGACACTATCAGCTTTCCAAAAGCGCCATTACTTTTCATAGCGCCGACCGTGCCGTATTTCGGGCCCGGTAATGCATCGACACCGCTGTGCGTGCGTCGCGCTGGAGCGACGCGAGCCGCAGCGCGCGCGCCGACCGCAGCCGCCATCGGCGCGCGGGAGGTTTCCTAACGCTCGTCGACAACGCAACAACCGCGGCTGATACCGCACCGAGAAAACTGGCGCCGCAGCCTGCCACTGGTGTGACGAAACCGGCCGACGCGGCGGGTGTGGCGCGGGCGTCAGCGGGCCTTCCTGGCGGTGGCTGCCCCACAGCGCCGGCGCGGCGGGTGTGGCGCGGGCGTCAGCGGGCCTTCCGGACGGTGGCTGCCCACAGCGGCGTCCTGAGCAGCGCCGGCGGTGAATGGCGAAGTATCGGAAGCGATGTGAAATCCGACTTGCCCTCATTTGTCCCCGTTAACGTGGCGTCTGTCTTTATGCGTCGTGTCTGAATATGAGCAATGTCTGTCGGCACATGCACCGTGCTCGCTTTCACATGCAGCACGGTGCATGTGAAACGCACCGTGCGGTGCATGGGATGCACCGCACGGTGCGGCGCATCCCCGCAAGTCGCGATCGTCACGGGCGTTTGGCCCCGGTTCAAGTGCGTAGAGTTTGTTCTTTTGCGTACGGATGATATTTCTGAATGGTCTCTCACTAGTCGTTTTGTCAGTTTTGTCAGTCAGTAGTCAGTTTTGTGGCCGTTTGGGTTCACTTCTGAGTAGCACATCTCGGCTCTGCCCGCGGTTGGACTCGGGCGAAGCAAGTCGTCATCAGGTGCCAACCGCATCCCTGCCCATCCGAGCGGAAAACCCGATGTCTGTTACCGTGCGCTCAGTGTAACGACATTTTTAGCGGCATCTAGTTTTGGCTGATTTAAGCTGATATCACAATCTTCTTATAAGGGATTGCTCTCTTTTGTAGATGGAAATCACAGTGGGTCTGGGCCTAGTGATACATTATATCGCGCTGCATGGGTCACTCAAAGATACAGCTTATCTTTGAGCCTCAATGCATCATTTTCAGCGCGGCAGCAAAATGTCCTGTCTCATGACTTTCGTTTGCCAATCGTCACCATATAAATCGTGCGGCGTGCACCAGTGCGTGCCGACAATCGCCAGCTCAGATCTGGAAGGAACCGCTGCACCACCAACGCATTATTAGCTTGTCTGTTCATGTGCTGTGGAGTGGTGATCGCGCACGTCCCACCCGACGCCGTCCCGTCTGCACCGCTGGCTGGACGGCGCTGTTGAGTGGTGGGCGCGCACATCCCACCCGACGCCGTCCCGTCTGCACCGCTGGCTGGACGGCGCTGTTGAGTGGTGGGCGCGCACATCCCACCCGACGCCGTCCCGTCTGCACTGTTGGCTGGACGGCGCCGTGGTGTGGTGGGCGCGTACGTCCTATCCTACGCCGTCCCGTCTGCACCGCTGGCTGGACGGCGCTGTGGTGTGGTGGGCGCGTACGTCCTATCCGACGCCGTCCCGTCTGCACCGCTGGCTGGACGGCGCTGTGGTGTGGTGGGCGCGTATGTCCCATCCGACGCCGTCCCCGTGACCCGCTCACCAGCGCGAGTGGCCCCGGCTGCGCCGCTGGCGGTGTCGGACGGACGCAGCCGGATGTGCTGACTAACCGGACGGCCTCTCCGTTTCCAGTTCGACCAGTTCGCGAGGTCGAAGCTGGCACTGGACGGCGGCAGCACGTTTCACTTGGTGACGGACGGCCAGCTACACCTGCGACAGTGCCTGCACCCGGAGGCCTGCAACAAGCTGCTGGAGCTGCCGCACTATTACTGGGCCTTCCATGACCTGCGCAAGCAGTTCCGAGCCCTCTACCAAACGGAGGAGATGAACTCGGTCCAGGACATGCTGACTTGTATCCTTTTCGGACTGCAGTTCTGTGACACCCGACAAGTGTGTTCCGTAACAGTTTTTAGAAGTCAAAGGCAGGGCTGGCCGAGGGCCTTGTCCGGTTGCAGCGGTGCATAGCCAACCATCCTCTTTCGGTTGTGGATGGGTTGCCGGTAAAGCGAGTCAGGAAAGCAGGATCTCTGTGGGAGG